ACGTATAGCTAAAATCAGTGGATTTTATATATTGAACCACTAAGTACTGTAACGTATAACTGTCAAAGAGTGTCTTTCGGATATTTGTTCCCAGATATAGAACGCATATCTTAAAATCAGTGGCTTTCAGATATTGAACTCCCAGCAGTATAGCTGTCAAACAGAGTAGCCTATTTCAGGCCTTTATTCCCCGATATAAAACGTATAGCTGAAAATCTGTGGCTTTCAGATATTGAACTCCCAGATACAGGACGTATAAATGGTAAACAGTGTCTTTCGAACCTTTATTTCCAGATATAGAACGTATAGCTGAAAACCAGTGGTCTTTCAGATACCGAACTCTCAGGTATAGGCCGCATAGCTGTCAAACAATGTCTTTCATCCTTTATTGCCACATTTAGAACGTGGGTATAGCTGAAAGTCAGTGGCTTTCGGATTTTGAACCCCCATTCACAGAACGTTTGTAGTTGTAGTTCACCAGTAGTTAAAGAAAATATTGAACTTTTATCCAACCAATACTGCGTTGGACTAACTAAAAATAAAAAGAAACACCACACTAATTTACCCATTTACACCTTCCTTCCTATATCCACTACTAAGCGGTTTCCCAACGATTAGTCATCATAGTGACCGAAAACAGTGGGAAGGAAAATCTATGTTCCGACCAAGAACAAATCACGGGATGTGATTTCCGATTTCCGATTTCTGTGGTGTAAGGCGAAAATAACTTAAACACATATGGACCTTCGACGTAGGCGAAGTCCATCGTCAATTGACTGGGGTCTTTTATTTGAACTGGCTCGTTTGACCGGAGCTCGATGGAGACCTTAGTTTACAGACACAATTTGTATGTTTTGTACCTGTGTCCACCTGATGGACGATTGATTCGATAGAAATCCAATATCTGTTAGTCGATGGAGGATATGTGTTTTTCTCTAACTGCGTCTGAGAAATTAAAGCAATTTACAGAATGAATAATAAACATTTAAACAAAATGAGGTCGCTGGATCTAAAGTAAATATGTTTATAAAACTGTCAAAAAACCGTCCAAACAATATTTTTATGTTAATAGTATGAGATTCGGGCCAGTGACGTATTTGTGTAAATGTTTATGATTCATACCGTTCCTGTTCTAACGTCCGTGTGTATTTGTAAATAAAAACATATTGAATGGCTCTGAAGATAAGAATTTGAAATCAGTTGAATACTCTGATATTAAACAAACGACCCACTCATACTGATTTTAATATACACATTAATAGTTAAAAAGTAATATACAACAACAAATTTTGTTCTTATTCGAATGTACACAGAAACACCGAATCAAAACAGAAGAACTTAAAGATGTTATTTTTATTCCGGGACGTCGATGTCAATTATATGATAGCATAATAAAGGTTTCAGTGATAAATTAACAGTTTTTGAATAGCTTTTTTTTTATTATAAGAGAAATTACCAAGTACAATAAAATGTTGTAAAATAATACATCACCCTTCATTCGTGTGACACAATGTTTAGTTCCAAGAAACAATGTAATGTGTTCGGTGTTATAAACGGTGATACTGATAGTACAGAAAGATCTAAAGGTAGACTATTGTAGCCCGCAACACCCTATGAGCTGTGAAATAACGCGACGTTGCCAGTTTTCCGTCCGCCCGTTGCCATGGCAACCACCGACCGATATCGTCAGACCTCGCCACACGCCAAGCTCACAGCAGTGAAAAATACAACATTCCTTTCCAAGTTACGTTGCTTTCACTTTGACTAAGTTTTCAAATAATGTGGATTTGTGTAAAATAAACCCCAGTCACAGGTCAGAATACCAATATCTTTCTGTTTTCACGATTAGAAACATGATTAAATTGTATAAAAATATATTCATCGCAGTAAGGTACTAAAACTGTTTGTAAAAATCAAACTGTGTATATGCTCGGAAACAATAACAGGCTTAACATTTTACTTAGTTATAGGTTATAGTCCACACCGTACTTTGAATAATAAATTAAGTTAAGAAAGACCACTTATTCTAGCTCTTTTTCTCTAAGTATAAAGTGTGATTATAAAGTGGCATAAATCATTCAGCACTAACTTTTGTAGGATATAAAGGATTACATTCGCATCTGACGGGTTTATAATGGTGTACAACTGGTATATATGGTCATTATACCCAACATTACTAAGGTTTTATGGAAAAACAACGTAGCAATAGCGAAAAACAACGGAAAAAGAACGAGCGTACCTACTTGATTATTCTTGATTGTTTATTTTGCAAAATGTATACCATTCATGCAATGGTTGACCAAATAGAGTACCAACAAATTTATTATACCGGTATACTATACTAATATTTACAATAAAAGTTTATGTTCTGTAACAGAAGTACGGGGTATCCCGCAATTACAAACAAAAATTGGAATAGGTTTAACGGGACAAAATAATACGAAAATTAAGAAAAACATAAAAAAAATACTTAGCAAGATATCAACATTTTGTTTCTTTAATGTTTTTAATTTATATCTCGCAAAATGTTTAAGATAAACTTATGAAATTCAGAATACAATTCTATTTAGTCATAATCTATATTTCAGAAAAATAACTACCTAATGAACAAGTTTTTTTTGTTTCAAAATGGCGACAATTTTAATTGTTATAACTTAAATTACTAAAATATGTTTGGTTTTATTTTAACTTGTCAGTTGTAACCGTTTGCTTACCCAAAGTTCGCTTGTATTTAGCATTTGAAATTCCCAACCAAACGACTCATTGTCCAAAAGGATTAAATAAATAATGCATAGATGTAACAATGTTTATGCGCAAAATGAGGCGAACCCCCACTGACTGTTTGGCCTTATTTATTTAGGCCTTCCCGGCATGAAAAACTAAAAATCGTAATTTTTCGTTATTTATTATTTAACGTTTTTTATCTAAGTATCGTTTGATAGGGAATTTTAAAAACAAAATGTTTTTAGTTTTTGACTTTTTCATAAAATACCTATGCCATAAAAAATTATTTCGGAAAAAAATTAAAAATGAACACCATTTTATGAACACAACCAAAAATAACCACAACTTTAAACACACGAAAATGTTTTAAATGAATTTCTTATAGAATATTTTTTGAGTTGATAAAATGGTATATGTAGGCTACAAAATTTCAAAGATATCTTAACTAGTTTTTCAGACATAAATTTATAACACAAAGAACAAAATGGCGGAGGTCTCGCTTACGAGGAAAAATGTTATTCTTAATTTTTGTTTTACTTTTTCCCATAAAACTTAGTCCTAAAAGGTTTTTTACTTACTTACTGTCTGGACTTATACTGGTATACTAGTCGTTAGGCTATAATGTGTGTGTAATATGTTTTAAGGTCAGAAAACCCCGTTTGCATTGCTACGAGTCAAATTGCTATCATGTATAACAACAAAAGCGTTTTTGTTTAGCTTTAGAAGGAAAAGGGGCCAAACATTTATTATGACAACATTTATTATGGTTATTATGACAATTTTCAGAGCACATCTTTAAAATGTATAATATTACGTAACATACTGTCAACAATGAAATGCATTGCCTACAAACACAACACGGTCAAACGGTCAAATTCATTATGACGTATATGAAAAATTAAAGAAACAATCTACCATAAAAAGCTTAAATACCTCCGCCGCAGCAAACCTGCCGACTAAGCGAATTTCCATTTGTCTGAATTGATTTTCAGTTAATATTTTAATAACATTAGGTTTAACGAGTACCTAGGTTTGCTGCTACAAGGAAACTAATAAAGTGTGTTTTTGAGTAAAATATTGATAGCTTAGTATAAAATAAATAAATTTGTCAAGTTTGATCAAAATATATCCATAAACAAGCAAACTACAACATTTGACAATATTTTCCATAAGAATAACATGGGAATTTTAAATTTACATTTTTTCTTAATTTTCTCCGTTAGTAATAATCAAACAAAAATACTTTTATATACTAAATTATTTGTTTTTTTAAGCTCTTTAAAAAGGTCTAAAGAGAAATCGGAAAATTTTGTGTTTTGAGGGTCAAAAGTGAGAAAACCCAATTTTTACCCCATAAAACCCCCCGTAAAGCCCCGTTCCCATGGTCCGATCGTGCTGGTTCGCGAACTCATTCAAGTTTATCCCGCTTTACACCTTTAAACCAAATTTCATCAAAATCGGACAAAAATTACTCAAGTTATCGCGTTCACGGACGTATATATATATATATATATGTCTATATATATATATACATACATATATAAAAATTTGAACGAATGGTGTTTTTGGCCTCTGGGGACATCAAAATGAAAAAGTAAATCGGTCCCGAGCCTAGGTCTTACCGTTCCACCTACGGAAATAGCTACTTCCCTATAGGGAAATTCGCTAAAAGAACCATAGAACGCATTGTTTGCCTTTTGAAAAGTCCATCCGCTGTATATCTAGTTATTTAAAATACATGATCAATGATAAATATAAAAAGCAATAGGCATAACAAATAAAAACAGAACAGTCAGAATGGCTTTATTTCATAAAATAACATACTCAAACTTAAAGTAAGGCAATAAAAATCAGACAGTAACAAAAGATAAAAATGTAAAGACAGAAAAAAAGACCATTAGAAGTAAGAATTAAAATTAAGTAAAATAAGATAAAACTGAATTATTATGAATACTTAAAATTATTAAAACTGGATACGTAAAATTCAAGATAAAATAATGATACCAAAACAAAAATATCCAATCACAATATAACTGATGATTTCTACACAAAAACCACATTATGTATATATATAAATATCATAAAATTATTTGGCAGACATTAAGCACATAGCCGTAAGTTCTAAATGAAATCATATTGATGACTATTGTTATCAGTGTACTGTACATAGAAACATGCAAATTCGTTGTCACAAGTCATCCCAAGTAGGGACAGACCAATCGACAGACATGCTATACAGTATTAAAATTACTAAAATGGTGTTGAATGATACTTACAAGAATGAAATTTCAACGATGATTTATGTCTTGCAACATTTGCACGTCATCTAAAACCAAATAAAAATAATTATACAATAGTACTTAATAATTATAGAACTATACCAAAATTTCTTTACAACAAAAAATACACCTAGCAACTCTATGATAACTCTTAAACATTATACATTATATTCCTAAATTTATTTGACTAAATATATGTTGAACATAATTTCATTTCTATCCGTTTAGTTTTCATGTTGCGTGTTCAATTATCGTATTATTGGTCCAAAGCATTCCTATTTCTTACTGAAACATGCTATTTTACACTACCCAGTAATATGGCATAGCGCTGGATTCATTTACTAACGCATTTATTTGTATGAAAAATAAAGAAACAATTTATTATAAAATTATTAACCTTCCATTTTACAAAATAGAAGAAGGGTGGTAAAATAGATAAAATAAATCCATAATTAAAAATTACATTTGAGGGTACATAAATAATGTTGTTAACAAGACATTTTTAAGTTTAAATTACAAACTCGCCCTCCAAATTAAATTACGCCCCCAAACTTTCCTTGTAAAAGAATTCAGAAGGATACTGCGTTTATTTTTTTAATTTAGCATCATTTCACCAAAAAAACATGAACACAAGATTGCAAAATTTTGACATTCACAGCATCACTTGATGGTTTTCGTAAACCAGTTTATTTATAATAGCATGTATGTGTTATAGAAGATGGTATGAAGAGTTTAGCTTGATGGGAACGGCCGTAAATTATAAACAAAGATTTTAGTACGCCGAATAGTACGCCAATTTTAGTAGTGACGAATTAATTGAGTAAAAATTTAAATGTATATATCCTAGAATTCATAAACGGCCATACTAAATTCAATAATGCATTACATAGCTTAAGTATGTTTTGTTTATACAAAAAATACTATATGAAAAAATCCCCCTTCTATCATTGTTAGTATTAAATTACGTCAGAAATTACAAAAGAATATATGAAAACTATCAAATGATTTTCCCCATGTTAAATACTACGTTATTTGTTAACCAATCCTCTGTGCTGTTAATTTTTAAGACTGAAGCTGGCGTATATTTATTAATATTTTTTTATTGTTCAGTACTTTTTTTGGCTGCTAAATATGATATGGACTAACATAGTAAATAGGTCGCAAGGTCGCATCGATGACTAAAGCTAATGATCGCGTGTTCATTTTTATTCTTTCGCGTGTTTGCATGAACAAATATAATAAATATTGGCGAATAGGTATAACAATATGTAACAATCATTACCGTACACGTTTTCGTCACGAAAAATAACTTCACAGACCCTATAAACTTAGACCTTAAACGGGAAAAAAACACATACCAAAGTTAATTGTGAAAACCGACAGGAAACTGCGATTCTTGACCAACATTTGTAACCGAACGTCTACTATATAAAAATTGAAAAGAATTTTGCATTTCTACAGACAACTAAAACACAATAGGGTGAATGGTAAACGACAGTTTAAGAACATTTCTTTGTGCGTTACACATTTTTACAGCCTCCAACGTAATGTTTCCAATCTTCAAACATTTGAGTGGGTGATGACATTTCATAGTAAAATTCACAAGCTCATACAATATTTTACGGTTAAAACAAATTTCAAAATACACGCCTTCTTAAACACTCAATCTTTGTGACCTGAAAATATATTTAGTAGACTGATTTTCCCCAAGCATTGTTAGAGTCAAGTATATCAAAGAATCAAAAATGTATGAAACATTATCAATATCATACAAATTGTAAAGAACTAGAATTTGAGTTTCCGCATATTTCAAACGTATGATTTTGTTTTTATGATGTATCCAAGAAACTCTAATTAATTAATTAAATTATTATATATATTAATTAATATATATTAATTAAAAATTGATGGATTGAACGTCACAGCAAATTACTCATAGGGTACATAAGAGGTCAACGCAAGACTTAACAAAATAATAAGACTGTTGTGTAATTATCAATACCAATACCGCTAATAGGACTGTCATTAGAAAAATTAAGCATAATACAATATTTAATTTAATATATTTCACAATTAGAATTAACCTTGGATATGACGTGACTATCCTCACATTATCATCTCATTGTCTGTTGGAGTTGTGGTTGTATTATTAAAAGTCGAATTCACTATGGATGCTGTATAATTATTTAGAATTATGTATTTAAAATGTATGACTGTCATAATTATGTGTCAGTGATGATAATTTAATTTAAATGAATAGCTAACAAAATATTATTACTAATTTAAGCGTTTTTAATTATAAAATAAACAACTTACGTTATAATTTAAGTTGTATAGTTGCGCCATCATTCAACTTCTGTTATTATGGAATTATTTACATGTAAGTTATTATAATATGATCTCATTTGAATAATGAATAGTTATACAACATAGGTCTACATCGGGGTAGCAACCTTAAGCCACATTCTCGCTGTCGCATATAGGTCAAAATAATAACGAAAAACTCTCGCTTTATGCGATAAAATGTATTTTCGTTATCTGCATTAAAAACTGCTCTTATCAACATATGCGTTGAGGACACTGAGCTAGAGATACAATTGGAGGTACTAGCACTGAATGAGAAAAGTACATGCTTTAACTACCAGATCAGACCTCCAGACCAGACCATCTGGCCGCAACCAGACCGTCTTGGACGGCTCTACACACTCCCAGACCAGACATTCCAACATTCGTAATTGAGACGCCGTGGGGAGAACTCCCAACAAATGTTAACAGACCAGACAGAAATAGTGGTAAGGGAACCTCAGACCGTCTATGGTCTGTAGGTTCAACCATCAGACACGCAGAAAGTCTGATCCGAGAAAATCTGTCTGCAGACAGCCCTACTCACGATAAGTGCCAGACCAGACCAGACGGTCTGGTCTGTTATTATAGTGTGTGGGGCCGGGGGGGCTTAATGCCTTGAGCCAATAGGCTGATTCCCCTAGTTGGTACCATCCTAACAAAATTAAGGCGTTTTGCTTTTCTAGCAGAGTTGCCGTGCCAGTGCTACCTCCAATAGGCTAGTTGTGTCTCTAGCTCAATGGTTGAGGGGATTACAGTGCCAGTACTGTAGTTCTTTTTATTTCCAAAACAAGAATGAATCAGCTGTACCGGTAGTCGAGAACGTCAGCTGTTCATTTTCTGCCTTTGACATAGTTCTACATTTTATCCACATGGTTTTGCCGAAGAACATGGTCCCGATCAATAAAAATACTATCGTTTTGTATAGTAAACTAGAACTCGAGGTGGAAAGTGACATTTTACCATTAATGCTCTGAATTATCAATATATTACTCTGGATTAAGCAGAGTACGAATTGAAAATGGAGTGATGTTATCTGTATAGTTTATTTTAATAGCAGTGTTGTGTCTATGAAAGGGTCATCGGACGTTTCGGCATCATTATTCTCGACCTCACAATTCTATATAGGTAGCATGTTCGTGGGCCTCTCCGTAAAATTTAATAATGAAATCATTCGGATATATAAAACGTATATACAGGGTGTCCGGAACTCTCTACCAATATTTTAGGGCATTGCTCCTGGGTAAGAAACATACCTAAATATCATATTAAAATTGTCCGGAAGTCTTTAGTTACTCACACAGCCGCCATTTTGTTTTTTCAGTTATTATTTTTTTCTAAAGAATGGTTAAACATACGAAATGGAAACTTAGCACAAACATTTATAACAACAAGACAAAGCTACAAAAAAGTATGACGATTTTTCAAATTCAAAAAACAAAATGGCGGCCATTTAAAATGTTGTTTCTTGAATTACTCAAAAACCGTTGATTTTGCAAGAATAACTTTTTTAAGGCAATTTTATTACAAATCGATCGACACCTTAATCTTTAAGATCGGAAGAGTATTAACTGAGATATGGCAGTTTTAGTGATACGTGACCGCTGGAGGTTAGTTGCAGCGCATGCTGAAAGCGGTCACGTATCACTAAAACTGCCATATCTCAGTTAATACTCGTCCGATCTTAAAGATTAAGGTGTCGATCGATTTGTAATAAAATTGCATTAACAATTTATTCTTGTAAAATATTTGTAAAATTAACGGAGTAATTTGAGAAACAAAATTTTAAACAGCCACCATTTTGTTTTATGAATTTGAAAAATCGTCATAATTTTTTTGTAGCTTTGTCTAGTTGTCATAAATGTTTGTGCAAAGTTTCAACTTCGTATGTTTAACCAATTTTCATAAATAAATTAATAAGTAAAAAAAAACAAAATGGCGTCTATCTGAGTAACTAAGGACCTCCGGACAATTTAAATATGATATTTAGATATGTTTCTTACCCAGGAACAATGCCCTAAAATATTGGTAGAGAGTTCAGGGACACCCTGTATATGAATTTGAACGGATGGTGTTTTTAGCCTCTAGAAACCTGAAAATGAAAAATTAAATCGGTCCCGGGTCCAGGTCTTACCATGAGTACTACGGCAATAGCTTATTCCCTATATGGGAAATTAGCTAAAAACATAACATAAATAAGATTATATATATACATCCAAAAAGTTAATTTGTGTGTAATTATGGTCGTAGGAAAAATCTTGTGCGTATTGCGACCACATACAGTATAGTGTGTTTGATTGCACACTAAACATAGCCTGTATCTTATAATTTTTACATTCCCAGGTAGGATTTTATAGCCTATGTCATTTATTTTGGACCTACTTAGAACTATGTCGTAATGAGGGTTTTCCTTGTAAAATCCCCTTTTCAGCCGCTCTACTCAACCGATTTTTAATATTGATGGGTCATTGTAAAACTTATGACCTAACGGAGTGACGGATGGTAACTAAAAAGCACGAATACTTAAACAGATCATAAACATAAACAAATGACGTTGCTGGCCCGAATCCTATACTAATAGCATTCATTAACATGAGGTTTAAACAGTTCAAACCAATGTTAAATAATGTTTACTTTTTGTTTATGTTTGCATACCGGTTCTGTTCAAGTAATTGTGCCAAAAAGGTTCGCCCTCTCGCGTCAGATTTTTTTAGGGATTGCTGTCAAAGGTTCACTGAAGCTGTCCAAATTCCTTTACAATTGTTTAATGTGACTTTGAATGTGAACGGCTTATCTTTCCGTAAATGTTTAACCACAGTTAAACTGATTGTAAAAAAGAGACAAACAAGTTTATAAAAACTGAATAATCTGGTTGAGGTAGGTAAATATAACTTCATTTTGTAGATCTAAAAGAAAAAAATAATTAATTAGTAAATTATACTTTGATTCACTCTACTGTCTCAAACATAATTTTTGAAAAATGTAGGATATTTAATATTGTAGTATTCGTTTTTAATCTGAATTAATTCGCCCTGTAATTTGCCAAAATTAGCAACCAGGTCCCCTCGTTTGCTTTGTTTTCATATTTAAAAATATAAATTAGCAAATATGAGAGTTCGCTATCAAATTTATTGTTCCTGTGTTTGGCTTTACCTCACACATGAAACTAGAGCGCTCGCCGGAAAATGCTATTTTCGGCATTACATTATTATGTTATGCAGAAAATAATTATGAAATAAACTCAACTCTAACAATTAGATAAGTTATCTAGTATTTGCCATAATTTTAGATTTCTTTTCCCCACGGCTCTTTATTGAGACTACTAGCCCACAAATAGAAGAACTACGTTTAACTTGTATTTATGTATGAAATATTGAGCGGAAATGAGCACGGGCAATTAAACGTGAGTGGCGTTTCCAAGCACCTCACGTATGAGTTTTTTTTTTTTTTAAGTTTACTTATTTAAGTTGTCTGATCGTGTTTATAGTCTTGGGATTTTGGTGAGGAAGGTTTCTCATAGGCATCTTAGTTATTGCGGAGCATGAAACATTCGTCGTAAACGCAAGCTTCAGCGGTATAATGCTGTAAATTATAGCACACGATTTGAAATATATTTGAATTGACCGACCGGATACAAAAAATGCTTCATTCTGTGTCTTTTATATTCCATGTAATTTATATTTCATTACTTTTTTCGTTACTAGGGGTAGATGTTTGCATTATAAAGATCAGCAGGACAAAGATTTTAATTTTTCAATTTAGATGGTTGAAGATGACGTGATGATAATGCATTATTTCCATTGTGGACTAAATTCCACAATCTTGACGTTTATTTCCGTTTGGGGTTTTTTCCAGGGTAGGATGGAATTTATTATATTTAAACTTAGTGGCACACACAATTTGCAGTTATATTAGCAGTTGTCTCTGAAGAAACAAATTAACCTGTGAATAGGCTACACAAATACAGTAGTATTGTAGGTCACTCAGCAATTTCACCTGAGAAAGACAGTAGTGAAAATATGATAAAACATGTAAAATAACTTAAAATGACAAAATATTCCAATAAATAAATGAGGCAATAATCAGAGTGTTTGCAATTCTGTTTGTAAGAAGAGATGTGTGAAATGTCAAATGACAACTTCAATGTCTTAAAAACGTTGAATTAACACTTTTTTATGCTAGCCAAAACTGGTTTAGCTTCCACATGTGCTAAGCTTACCGTACAATAATTGAGAGGAAAACTAAACATGATCTGAAAACACACATCTCTTCTATGGAAGCGATAAAGTAAAATGCCGGCTCAACGGGTTTGCATCTTTTAAATGTTTATGCTGTAATTGTCAACTTAACGATTAAAAAAACCTAAATATATATTTTCCTTATATTAATAGGCCTAGTAAAGAGATTTAGTATTTTATTGCTTATGATTGGATTATAACTTTAATAAATTACATTTATAGAACGAGGCATGGGTTTCACATGAAGAGAATTATTGTAGCTAATTATCTTATGAAAAGAAGTAGGCCTAGGCCTATTCTAATTTTAAATGAATCAATAAGTAATAAATTAGACTACAGTACAATTTGTCTGCTAATGCAATATTAATCTTAAAAACGTTTACAATCGGCTAAGTTTAGCCATTTTGGGGATTCCAAAAGCCAACTTATCTAAGTTAAAAGGGTCAACTGAATGACTCATAAAAAGATTAAATCCCAATCCCAATGATGTAGCCTAGGCCTAATATTAAGTTAGGTGTGAACTAACTTAAGGTACTTAAAATGCTCCAACTTACATCGATTAACATTTTATGCTAATCATAACCTTTGCCATTACAAAATAACTTAAACTTAGCCTAGTGATAAAGACAGTATTTTGCAACTTTTAGGCTCGTTAATTCATCTGATTACATTTCCAGCAGATTGGACTAAAACTAGGAATATCTAAAGGGCCATTTAATGTCGGTGACTCGGTGTAGTCAGAAATGCCAGAAGGCTGCAACTAAGTTAATCAAAACTGCAACCAACTTGCTTGGGATAAGTATAGCTGCTGTTAATTACTTTGAGTAAAAATATAGATAGACGTGCTTGCTATAACTTTATCTAGCAGGTACCTATAACGTACATTAAGGAAACCGTAACACTAAAATCCATAACTAATTTGTATGAGAAATTACTTTCGGAAAGAGTAGCCTAGATGGCCTTTATCGGAAACAAAGGTCGTCCAACGCTGTAACTGTAACAGCTAACAGCAGTGACAAAGACTTATGAAAATAATTAGAACATGAAGTACAAGACTAGTCTACAAATAAAAAATTACACATAATAATAATAATTAGCTCTAACCTTCACATGATTTAAGTTTGCACATAAAATAATAAAGTGCTTTTAAGTTCTTTGACGACTACAGAAGTCAAGACTCTTCTAACCATGTGACAAAATAAAATAAGTCTACCAATCAAAACAACCAAGAAACAAAACAGAAATTGTATTGTTTATAAATTAAATCACTGTACAATGTTCTTGAGAGGTAACTATGAATCACAACACTTGTTTACATGCACACAAAACATCACAAGAGCAGAACACTGGTGTAACCATCAACGGTTGCAACTGGATGGAGATTGGAGAATGAAAGAAAGCGAATCGAGTCGATCCAAGTAGAGGGGAGGGAACTGTGAGCGTCGCCCCCCCGCAATGGACTCGCTCAAACCCGGCCACTGCTCAATCGATCGCGTTTTTGTGTAGTGGCCCAGCCGTTGCAAATGCAAGTTGTGTTGTGGCAGTGGAATCGGAATCGACGGAATCGTAATTCGGATTTCTCGCTCATCCTTTGTGAATCCTTCGTTTGCAGTTGCTTCGTTAACCATGATGTTTTTCCAGAAATACGACGGCGATTGAATGTGACACTGTATATTCGTATCGTTTATTTTTTTAAGCAATAGTTTATGTGAATTTCGTTTCAGATTCGTGATAAGTTCATGACAACTGCTAGCATTGCACTTTTGTAAATTTCAAGTTTTGTTGTAACTGGCAATTATAACATTTATATCTTATCTATAATTAAATAGTAAACTTAAGTGATCATTGTTTGTTTTTTTAAATGTTTAGTTTAGAGTTTTGTATGGGAGTAAGACTTATAAACTTTAATCATTAAGGGAGAAGCTAGCTTTTTGTTACTTAGTTTGTAGCATATCACATAAAATGAGTTTAAAAATGTATAGTACCATACTGTATTGTTATTTTTTATTACCTTTATAAACCCATTGAATTCAAATATCCCACTCCAGCAAACTGCCGTTTAAGCGAATATTCGATTTACTTTTTACTAAGACATGCCAAATTTATTCCCCATTTAAATAGAATTAAACGTACTAATGAGTGTTTAGGTTTCCTGCTACTGTACATGGAAGCGTATGTTTTATCTATGATAGAAGCCCTAACAGCCCCAACAGGTTGAAATCTGTCTTAAGATATCTACAAGTAATTAAATATATATTTTTAAAATAGCTTATCTAATAAATCTGTAAAATATCTGTTAAGATATTCTTTAGATATTAAAAGGTTTTACAGTAGATATTTATTTAATGTTTAGATGCAATATCCTTTAAATATTGTAGGTTAGCATATTCATTACTAGATATCTACGAACAGATATCCTGTAAATATCAATCCTACATTGACGATTGGAGATTGATTATAAAGACGATATATGCTGATAAGTGCATTATTGTTTCTTCAAGAATATTGAATGTTACAGTTAGCCTTATTAAAACACAGGATCTTAAGTCATCCACCAACAAATCAACAAACACTAATCAAACTAAAACTTAATTGTAGTTTTTATTTGGATATTTTGGTAGGATGAATTATAGTATGTTGTCTCCGTTACCCTAATCCGTGATCGCGTTAAAAAAATCTCATCATTTTAACATACTTAAACACCCTGTATAAATTAATTTGAACGTATGGTATGGCTTCGATGGCTTCTGGAGTCATCAAAACGGGAACGTTAATCGGTTCCGGTTCTAGGTCTTACCACAGAATAAATAGTAGATCCCCTATGGCCTATGGAAATATAATATCACTACAGTTCAGAACAATATACAGATCAGTGAAAAACTCGACTCAAACAGTTTCATTGTCCGTCGCGTTGAAGTAGAATATTTGTCTGTTTCTGTTTGTCAATAATTATTTATGTTGTCCTGCCTCGCCTCCTAATAGACTCGGAGTGACAATGCTCTGTTATATTGCTTCTTAAATGTTCCCTAGATTGTATTCTTTGTGTTTATATATCGACGGATTGTATAGAGTCTGACAGTTCGACGAGAAGGTTGTTGACCTACTCCTGGCCCCGTTGTTTTGTGGCGTGGCACTGTGACAAAGGTTGACAGGGATGTTACCAGGTACTGTAACATGCATCACAAACCAAATTTCCTATGTTTTGTCCTTCATTGTATACCTATAATGGACGCGTTGCAGAAAGTCAACAGTCCCGGAAGGTCAAATAATTTATACCTGTGCCGCTAGGTCAAAAACTACAATGTTTGCAGTGTCTGTAGATCAAAAATCCCAGTAAGTCAAATAGTACAGTCCGGGCTAAAAACGTAGTCTATGTTAAAGCAATTGACTTATTGGGAATTTGACCTAATGCAACAGCAGTTTTAATATAACGAAATAAGATAAAATATAAGTTCAGTTTCGCTGAGTCAACAGTGCCGGAAGGTCAAAAGTATAATCTGTTAAAAACAACGATAGTCCTCTCGACGCATGACTTAAATAATTTCGTGTTTTGGTGTACTTAAAGCTGTGCTAAAATTTTGAAATTTGGCACAGAGCTTCTTGGTTAGTCCTACTCGATGACTATTTTGTTGGAACTTTAAACTATTTACCGATCTAATTAATAAAAATTGATTTGTACGGTGAAATAGTTTTAAATCGTGGTTTCTAACATGAAAAAGTTAGCATGCGAGATTTTTTGTTTGTTTTTGGGTTAGAGAGGTTTTGTTTGTGGCAAAGTTGTAGCCAAAAGTGTGATGCGTAAAATATATTTCTTTGAATTTTTTACAATCAGTGGTTCAGTAGATAACTTGGGTTGAAGAGGACGGCAAATTTAGCATTTCGCAACGCATGGAAAGAACTACATCGTACGATGCGACTGCTGAGTGGACTTTTAATTTATAGTTAAGGACAAGAAAAAGATGAATATACAGATCACCAGTACATTCATATTATTTATAAAACATCTTTCTTTATTACCAGCTTACATTTTTCACTTATAAGAATACATCATAAACAGGGTGTTAAAATAAGCGGGGAGATACTTTACCTATTAATTCCTTGGGTCAAAGTAAACAGAAAATCAAGGCTAACATTTTTTTCCAATATCATTTCGTTAACCAGATATCCACCATTTTGTATTTTTTACATACAAATATTTATCTTTGCACTTTTCCAACCGATGTTTATGAAACTTGGTATGTATGTTAAGGTAGGAGAGACGCATGTTATAAACAAAGATTCATCTCGATTCACCCTAAAATTTCAAAATTTAACACTTAACTACAATATAATATACTTTACTACACCACAATATTTACGTATCACCATAAATCTTTAACAAAATAAAACGTTAACATTTTTAAAATCCAAAGTAAATCAATATAATATTTCTTTTTTGAAAAATATATTTAAAAAAAAGGCGATGGTAAAATAACGACAGGCGAGTTTCGATCTGGGTGTTTCAGGTTTGAATCTAGGAGGATTTAACATTAATTAGGTAACATTAATGTTTAATCCTCCTAGGTTTGAACTGATTGAGAGGAATACATGAAACCGAAGGGGGGAGGTAGCAACAAGTGCACTAGTATTTACTAGTGTCCAATTACAATTTCATGGATTTAACCAAAACCTTTCCTATTTCACTTATTTTTAGCTGTTAAATTTCAAACGATACGTTTTAGTGACATCATTAACGTTATTATCATCATCATCGTTTGAGTTTGTGTTTGCGGCAATGTATTTTTATGAATAAAACCTTTAATTTGATACCAAACTTGACCTCTGCTGCTATTAATTGACTGTATGCACTATTAATTAACAGCTGTGTCTAAGGATTATGTCGGCCTTAGTCACAAACAGGACAACAAGATCGCTCCACTCATCCCACCACACTCATCTCCATTCATACTTGGCTTAAAATGCATACATTTGTATGGTCGCCATTTCAAAGCAACATGGCTACATTATCAATGACAAACGTGGAAAACCTTATACGAGTGTGAGTAAATCCAAAACAACTCTAAAAAACAATAAGCAATAAATTGCAAGAACCGTTGCTTATATCATTGGGTAAACTTATACACGTATGTATTGACGTGTATACTCAATGCTTATATCGAACGAATGTACATCGTAAGAATTTCCATTAGTTGTTCCATTTAGTTGTGTGTCCATTAGTATAATATTTTAGTTGACTCTTTTAAAGTCGGCGGAAATTGTGACTGTTATTGCCCTTGAAATAATGTTTGTGTAGTACTTTGCAATCCTACCAATGCTTATGGAATCATACGATTACAATTTTCTGGTTAGAATATGTTGCATAGAGTGGTGACTACTGTATCTTTTTGGTTTGCTTGTAAAACAGGATCAACAGAGATTTTCCATCGACTTAAACAATACGATACTCCCAAATTGTTCATTGCAATAACAAAATATCACACAGTTTGATGAATATTTGTGTGTAAACCACATACAGTACACCTGTATTCTATCTATTTTACCTTTTATTTTTCCAAGGCTTTATAGAAAATCACGCATTACGTGATCAGTGAAGAAAGGCTGTATCCCATGTGTTTTATAGGTAAAGAAGACAAGGGCGGTCCTAGACATATATTTTGGGGGGGGTCACCGGGGGCCTGGGGTGTATGGAATACCCCTAAAAGGAGGGGGGTCCTGGGGTTCCCCCTGGGAAAAATATATAAATAAATAAATATAGGCTATACAGGGTGATCAACTCAAGAAGGCCACCATTGGGATATCGGAAACGGTAAGAATTAGAGAAAACTTAGAATGGAAACATTCCTTTATTTTTTGTGGCAGTTAAAAATGTGATTTTAGTTTTTTGAAATTCAGCCACCATTTTCCATAATGGCGGCAAAATTTGAAATTTTTTATCGAACACCCTATATTTTATCATGTTTTCGGATAGAATATGCAATTTAAAAACTTTTTATCCTTGACATTTTTTTGATAAACCCACTCGTTTAGGAGTTAGAGCCTATGGAAAAATGACTTCCGGTGTACATATTTCATCATGTAGCTCCCAAACAAGTAAGTTTATAGCAAAAATGCGAAGCGTAAAAAAGTCTTACAATTGCATCCACATTCCAAAAAGACCATAAAAATAATTAAAATATGAATTATATTTTAAAAATGGCGGCAAACTTGAAAAGTGGAAAACTTTTTATTTTATAGTCTTTAAGGAATTTTATTCATTTTATTTTATTTTATTTTATTTCCAACGGCAGCAGCCAATT